TATCCCATTGTGGCAGCTGCCGTGACATGGGGGCATCTATGGGCAGGTTCGTCAGTACGTTGCCACTCAGACAACCAAGCTACCTGCCACATCATAAACAAAGGCCGATCCAAGTCACTGACCATTATGAGGTTCTTGAGGAAACTCACCTGGCTGGCTGCATGCCATAATTTCTTCTTGTTTTGTGTCCATGTCCCAGGTGTTTGTAACACGGCTGCTGACAATTTGTCTCGTTTCAATTTTCAGGCTTTTCGGCAAATACTTCCGTCAGCCGCACGTACAGCCACGACCACTCCACCTTTCCACCAGCTAGCCATGGACTAGAAGCTATTATGCAACATAGCAGGACATTGGCACAATTAGCACTGTCCACCAATACCCGGAGAACATATGACAGGGCTTTCCTTCTATTTAAAAGATTCCTGTCACTGCACAACGTCACACAACCTTTCATCATGACATCTTTGTTAGGTTTTGCTTCTTTTTGCCACCTCAAACTTAAATTATCTTACAACACAATCAAGCTATATCTGACAGGCATACAACATCACATGCTAACATTACAACCAAACAACACAAGTTTCATGTCCTCCTACCAGATAAAAAACATCCTTAGAGGTATCCAGAGATCCGAACCCCCACGTACCGCGCAAAGGCTACCTATAGACTTCAATATCTTCAAGGATTTATCCAGCCTACTAGATTCAAAACCCTTTGCGAACAACACAAACCTTGTTATAAAAACCGCCATATACGTAGCTTTTTATGGTTTCTTGAGACCAAGAGAATTTACCGCCATCAACACATCCCAGTCCACTCACATTCTGCTTCATTCACACTTAACGAAACACATGGATTACTATATTTTAGCTCTGCATCACTCCAAAACCAATCAACACGCACCCCCGGTAGAGGTTAGATACTATCCTACCCACAACGTGTGGTGCCCCGTCACATTACTGGACACCTATACTCAGCATTTCAAAGCATCACCATCTCAACCACTTTTCTGTCTACAAGGTTCGGTACTCACTACCACCACCTTCATGACCCACGTCAGGTCCCTACTTACACAACTAGGCCTAAAATCAGCTAACTATTCGGGCCACTCCTTCCGCATAGGGGCGGCCTCCACAGCGTCCAGTGCAAACATTCCAGTACATGTTATCAAGTCACTAGGGCGCTGGAAGTCTTCTGCATACTCTAGATACATACCTAACCCGGTACAAGAAGTTAGAAATGCCTTTCAAGATATGTCTGGTTGAAGTATGTATATTGCTCGTTTCGTAATAAAGTATATTTTCTACTTTTGCCCTCTTTATTTGCAGGCCTACCTCATCGTCGGTTCCGGCACACCACAACCGACTTGCTCTTTCACACTATCCCACACTTATCAGTGTTTGTATCTTCTGTACTATCATGAGCCCTTAACACAAGTATTAAGGCCTTTTGGCCTGTAATTGTGGGAGGGGCGTATGACTCACCTTCTCCCTACTTAAGGGACACCCCTTACCTGGCTCCATACCGTTCGAGGTCAGCGCTGCATCACCCTCCCACCCACTCCTCTTTTATTAACTCCTTTTCTCATACATTTCTTATTGGTGGGCCCTCTTTATTTGCAGGCCTACCTCATCGTCGGTTCCGGCACACCACAACCGACTTGCTCTTTCACACTATCCCACACTTATCAGTGTTTGTATCTTCTGTACTATCATGAGCCCTTAACACAAATATGTATATACTTATGTATATACATATATATATTATTTTGTTCTACGTGTATTTTGATATCTATATATATATTAATATCAAAATACAGTTAGAATGAAATTGCACACATATATATATATATATTTTAATGATTTATTTGTTATTATTTTTTTATTTTATTTTTTAACATATTTACATATTTATTTTTTTATATTATATATATATATATATAATTATATATATTTAATCAATATCATTGTACGTGTATTTTGAGATATATATATATATATATATATAAAATTATATATATTAATTTTAAAATACACTTATCCAGTGTATGTGTATGTACATATATGTGTGTATATATATACTTAGATCATATATATAGTAAATATATATATGATCTAAGTATATATTATATTTTAAATTGTATTTTAACTTTTTTTTTTTTACCAATTACAGGCAGAAGGGGGAGTACCTGTCATAACAGGCACTCGCCATGCTGGCATTGCTATGGACGGCTATGCTGTCCATGTGATCGTGAGGTCCTCGCAAGGAACTCGCAATCACATGGCCTAGGAGGGCTGGATCGGAAGCAGGAGGAATCACACTGAGGAGTTGTGGTGAAAATTTGATCAATGAGATATTGGTTAAAACTTTTTCTACCATGGGAGATATATTTCTGCATCCAGACAAGGGTCCTAAGTTTTGAGGAATGATTTGGGTGTGTAATGAGTTTGAAAAGTGAGTCTATCCATATCGATGCTATCCTGTATTTTTTTGTTAATCACAACAACAGAAGGAACATGCTAAGTGCCCTAAATCTCACTTATTGCTCTGGGTGGCAAGCAATATCCTGGCCAAAAGTTTATTTTCCATTCTGGTAAAGGGATTGATCAGTTTGAACAAAAGCAAAGCCTTTCAATCTAAGGGATAGAGTTTACCCATCACTCTACTAAGCACTACTGCAATGCTTTGCCATATTGTTTACAACTAAGGGCATGTCCAACAATAGATGAATGTACTAGTCTCTCCGCATTGTTTCCAGCATAAGTTATTTGGCAGGTGGTGCATGGTCACAAGACGTTGAGGTGTGAGATACCACCTAAATAGCATTTTGTAGGCTTGTTCTGAGTAATACAGATTGTTGGGGATGCTATTGTTTCCCAGATATCCAACCAATACGTGGTCTTGTCTGGGGGCCCCAGATTTGACTCCCAAGCTATTCGAGTTGTGTGTGTTGCCAGTAGTGTTTATATATCATATATTTGTCCTTTTGGTAAATGTATGCAATCACGTTCAAAAGATGTCAGTGGTGATGTACCGCCGGCTTAACGGATGGTGGAAAAAGATGCAATGCTTCTAAGTATCAAAAAAGTCAATGTCTTGAGTGAGGTATGTTCTGGAATGTTAGTAGATTCTAGAATTTTGTAGTTAACATAAAGATGTCTTAAGCGTGTAATGTCCCTCGTGGGTGTGAATTTTGATGGAACTAGTTTGTCGCGTAATATGGGGGTAAGTGGAGATAGGAAAGAAGATAGTTCAAATTTATTCTTAAGTCTGTCCCATAAGTGAACGGAATGTGTGATTGTTAGAACAGTTTGGAAAGAGTGCCAGGCAGGGGATGGTGCATTTTTTAAAGCCATCAGATGTTCCAGGTCAACCCAGAGTTTCTTATCTGTCTTTACCTGCCATTGCTGTATTTGGTCAAGGTGAGTTGCATTGAGTGAAATTAGGGAGCCCTAGGCCACCAGATCTTTAGTATATACAATGTGTTCCTACGGATTCTGGGTTTTTGCCCATTCCATACGAACAAATTCACTGCCCGCCTGCAAGGCTTTCAGGTCTGACCTGCAGACCTATATTGGTAATGCTTGGAAAATGTATAAGAATCTAGGAAGTAAGTTCATTTTGACGGAGACGATGAGACCCAGCCAAGAAACAAGAGCCCTCCACCTAGATTTAGTTTGTTTTGTAGAGTAGGTGGACATTGCTGGTAAACTGAATACCCATGTATGTAATATTGGATTTGCATGTGCAAAACAGTGAGATACCTACTCAACAGCTGAATGATCAAAATTATTTAAAGCCCTTTTCTTAATTTTGCTCTTTCATTTATTTAATTGGTAGCTCCCTAATTTGGTAATCCCATTTAAAGATAGAAAATGAGTGTGCTATTTACTTAACAGCTGAAAGATCAAAATTAGGAAAAGTCATTTTCTTAATTTCGCTCTCTCAGCAGTTTAGTAGATAACTATAATTTAGTATAATTAATTATGGGAATTCCATGTTAGGATAGCAAATTAGGGATTTATCTAAAAAAACAGTTAAAGATCAAAATTAAGACTACCCATTTTTTTTTGTTCTTTCAGTTGATTAGTAAATATCTACCTAATTTGGTATCCTTAGCAATGGCAATCACATGTAAAATTGCAAATTAGTGAGCTATCTACTAAACAGCTGATATATCAAAATTAAGAAAAGTCCTTCTGAATTTTGAGCTTTCAATTTAATTAGTTGATAACTCCATAATTGGCTAGCCATATCAAAATGAATGGATCCTAAACAAACTGTTTTGATTCATTACAGATCAGTTTGTTTTGGTGTAGGGATCGACCGATATTGATTTTTTTTTTAGAGCCGATACCGATATTCTGTGAACTTTCAGGCCGATAGCCGATAACTTACCCATATTCTGTACATTTACCATTTTGAAAAACAAACAAACTATTTCTAAAGGTAAATGCAAAAAATATACATGCCATGTGTAGTAGATGCAGTGTGTTTAGACAGGGGAGCTGTGTGTGTTTGTGTAGTGTGTGTAGTGGATGCAGTGTGTATTTGTGTAGTGTGCGTGTAGTGGATGCAGTGTGTAGTGTGTATATAATGAATGCAGGGTGTTTGTGTAGTGTGTATAGTGAATGCAGTGTGTGGTTAGTGTGCATAAAATGAATGCAGTGTGTGTGTGTAAACTGAATGCTGTATATACTAAATGCAAAGTGTGTGTATTTGTGTAGTGTGTGTGTATAGTGAATGCAGTGTGTTTATTTGTATAGTGTGTATATAATGCAGTGTGTTTGTGTAGTGTGCATTATATAAACACACTGCACAAACATTGCATTATATACACACACTACACACACACTGCATTATATACACAGTGTGTTTGTGTAGCGTGTTTATATAATGCAGTGTGTTTGTGTAGTGTGTATTATATAAACACACTGCATTATATACACACTACACAAACACACACACACTGCATTATATAAACACAGTGTATTTGTGCAGTGTGTGTATATAATGCAGTGTGTTTGTGTAGTGTGCATTATATAAACACACTGCATTATATACACAGTTTGTTTGTGTAGTGTGTTTATATAATGCAGTGTGTAGTGTATGTGTATATAATGGAGTGTGTGTTTGTGTATGTATGTATGTAATTGAGGGGGCATTTTTTATGAAAACTTTTTAAAAATATTTAATTATTATTATTTATTTTAGTCCCCTCTCCCTGCTGGTTACCTGGCCAGAGAGGGGGCATCTGACAGTCCCTGGTGGTCCAGTGGCATGTACTGAGCAGTGGGGGGAACTACCTTTCCAGCAGCTCCCCAGTGTAAATCTCGCGGCCTGTGTGCTGTGCGGAGCGTTGCCATGGTAACGCTCTAACGGATGCGGGTCTCGCAAGATTTACACTGGGGAGCTGGAGGAGCTGCTGGAAAGGTTAGTAAGCGCTTGCTGCGAGCCCCCAACAGGACCTCCGGACTTGTAATGAGTCTGGTGGTCCTTTTATATAATATTGGCAATATCGGTATCTTTATTGGCCGATACCGATATTGCCGAAAATACAGAATATCGGCCAATAATATCGGTAAAACCGATAATCGGTCGATCCCTATGTTGTTTTCAGTTTCCGTCAAGCTGGAAATTCAGACATTTCCAAACTGCCGAATCAGGGCTAAATTTGATTCAGGAAAGAACGAATTGCTCATGGCTAATGAAAACCACTATGCATGTGGTTTCTGTGTTTGACAGCAGGACAACTGTCTGTAGGAGGGTTTTCCTGCTCTCACCTGTCAATAATTTCTCAGCGTAGAGGATTATGCTAAGTCTCTTCCAAATAATTTTTGACAGGTAGAGGAGAGACCTGTTTTTAAATGTTTTTTTTCTCCAGTATATACATTTGCTAGCAATTCTGCAAGCTCAATGTATAGATGGAATTTGATTTAGTATTAAATTACACTAACTTGTTGGTACCATGGCAGCGACACATTAAGATCTTGGAAAGAGTCCCTGAGATTCTGTTCTCAAAATGATCTGTCTATTCATTGATTGAGAAACAATGAGTGACGAGTATTTTTTTAAATATAGGTGAAACAAATAAAAGTTCAATTAGTTCAATTAAAATTCAAATGCGATCAAAAGATGTCATAAGGCAAAGTAGGGGCTATTTAGTCTTATGATCAAGTCCTACATAGACAAAACTTAACATTGCCTCTAGTTCCCCCATTGTGCTATTTTTACCTCAAATGGTGTTTTTGTAAAAAGATTCACATAACCGAAGGGAATTACAAGACAAGCGTGGACAAGCAAAGAAAATGGACATGTGTAGAATGAAAAGGACAGCACATATTACTGCTCAACCATTATAGCTGAGAGTTTTCACTCAGACTGTCCGCTGTCCACCTCAGGAAGCTTTCCAAATGGTTTTGCCGTGCTCATGGTCAGTCGGGCAGGACAATGCCAATAATTGGTTGAATGCCTTTGGTGTTAGCATTCAGTGTGCATTGCATGGATTTCCACATAGGACATTGAGTATTATTTTCTATGTGAATGTGTAATACTTTTCTTGCTTTTACATACAACATTCTCTATTCTTCTGTTGCTTCTGCTGTCTCACTTGCTGCCTAACACATAATTCTTTTTGTGCAGAGAAAATTAAGCCCCGTGTCTATTGAAAGGATATTTTAAGTTTGTTTATAGCTGCTCTGCTTCAGTGAGCTATAGTGTATTAAAAAGTTGCCAGCAGCAGGCTGCAAATTCAAAACTGCTTTGACAGAAAGTGCCAGCTCTGATTGTATTGTGTCTTCCCTTCAGAGGGAGTTTTCTTATGTCAGTGCTTGTCACGCACATTTTTATGCTGCTGGGATCTGACAACAGCTTTCCGGTAGAGGAAGGCAGGATTTAAGGATCATGCCAAGAATAAGTGATATAGACCTGAGCTTGAAAACTGCTAATTTTTGCACAGAACTTCACAGCTCACACTTAAAGAACCACTATAGGCACCCAGACTACTTCAGCTTAATGAGGTGGTCTGGGTGCCTGGTCCAGCTAAGTTTAACCATTTTTTCTATAAACATAGCAGTTTCAGAGAAACTGCTATGTTTATAAATGGGTTAATCCAGCCTCTAGTGGCTGTCTCATTGACAGCCGCTAGAGGGCTTCCGCCTTCTCACTGGGATTTTCACAGTGAGAAGACGCCAGTATCCATAGGAAAGCATTGTGAATGCTTTCCTATGGACTGGCTGAATGCGCGCGCAGCTCCTGCCGCGCATGCACAGTCAGCCGAAGAGGAGGAGGAGAGCTCCCCGCCCGGCGCTGAAGAAAGAGGTAAGTTTAACCCCTTCCAACCCCCAGAGCCCGGCGGGAGGGGAACCCTGTGGGTGGGGGCACCCTTAGGACACTATAGTGCCAGGAAAATTAGTATGTTTTCCTGGCACTATAGTGGTCCTTTAAACAATAAAAAACAAAAAACAAGAACTGGAATGAAAAAAAATATATAAAAAAATAAGCTATTTCCAAATGTAACTAAACTAGAGACTTTCTGGGGAATTTTTCAAGTCAAAACAGGTGCTTTTCTGAGAGAAAGTGCTAAATAAGGAGCCGTCACCATGGCAACCAGTAGGAGGTCTCTCAACAGTTAAAGGGCCACTATAGTGCCAGGAAAACATACTCGTTTTCCTGGCACTATAGTGCCCTGAGGGTGCCCCCACCCTCAGGGACCCCCTCCCGCCCGGCTCTGGAAAGGGGTTTAAACTTACCTTTTTCCAGCGCTGGGTGGAGAGCTCTCCTCCTTCTCTCCTCCTCCGTTCCGCCCGTCGGCTGAATGCGCACGCGCGGCAAGAGCTGCGCGCGCATTCAACCGGTCACATAGGAAAGCATTCATAATGCTTTCCTATGGACGCTGGCGTGCTCTCACTGTGAAAATCACAGTGAGAAGCACGCAAGCGCCTCTAGTGGCTGTCAATGAGACAGCCACTAGAGGCTTTGGGGGAAGGCTTAACCCATTAATAAACATAGTAGTTTCTCTGAAACTGCTATGTTTATTAAAAAATGGGTTAACCCTATCTGGACCTGGCACCCAGACCACTTCATTAAGCTGAAGTGGTCTGGGTGCCTAGAGTGGTCCTTTAACTCTTTGCACCCAAAATATAATATTTTGCTTTGAAAATCTCCCTGATTGTGGCTTATATATTTTTTTTATTTTTAAGATAAGTTCGCCACAGCTCTCTTATATGCAGACTCCTGTATAGAGTATATTTTTTTCATTGCAAAAAGTTTTGTTATTGTATACATTTCAGCATTGTAGTTGTTCAACAGTGATCCATTACATATGCAAAAAGGTAAGCTTGTGAAATAGCTAACTACAATATGCTGCCTTTATATCATGGATAATTATTATTATTATTTTATTATTTATATAGCGCCAACAAATTCCGTAGCGCTGTACAATGGGTGGACTAACAGACACATAATTGAGATCAGACCACTGGACGTACAGGAACAGAGGGCGTTGAGGGCCCTGCTCGATGAGCTTACATGCTAGAGGGAGTGGGGTATAGTGACACAAAGGGTTAAAGTAGGGGAATTAAATAGTTTGTTAGCAAAGGGTTTATTAAGTGCTTGGTAGGTCATTGTTGACAGTTGCAGGAAAGGAGTCATGGGGTGGGGGATGAGAAGCCTGCTGACAGTTTAATTGATACGCTTTAATGAAGAAGTGAGTTTTCAAAGATTTTTTGAAGGAGTGGAGGCTGGGTGAAAGTCTGAACTTTGATAAATTGTCCTTTTATTTAATTACAAAATGATCCTATTCTGCCGTACACATGGATATATGTTTGGTTCCCAACTGCAATTCAACTGATCTCAGGCCGATCAGGTGATTGGGGAAATTTTGATTTCCGAGCCCCAGGTCAGGAAATAGTTAACTATTAGTTGCAGGCATTAAATTTCCCTCCTCATCCTATATCACAGTCTAGTTTAAAGTAGCAGATATGAACTATAATTTAATAAGAGAGGGAGCATGTTGCTGCCATGAATAGTAGCTAGGAAAAGACAATTCCAGTAAGTATGTATTATATTTAATAAAAACATGTCAAAAGCTATGGATTCTATGTACTACTATTAATATTAATATTAATATAGGGAATAATCCCTTTGCCAAAAAATGAGACTGAGGAAAAAGTCAATTTATAGTGTTTGATGAAGGTCAACAGGAGAGGATCAAAAGGTTGCCCTGCATATGTCTTCTTCTGATACCTCTGGCCAGTTAGTCCATGTAGTTGCCAGTGATCTGGTGGATGAGAATGATATCGTAGTACATATGCTTAAATTATGGTAATAGCAATTCAGGTTGGAGTAAACACCACCTCCCCTTACAAGTTCCAGTAGGAAGCACAAAAAGCTTAATGATTTCTTTGAAGACAGAAATATTGGAGTACGGAATAACTAACATCCAGCTCGTGAAGCTTAGAGGACCATTTCCTGTAGAAGATGAGAATTGAAAACCACTTTTGTAAGAAAATGTTGTCTTCTTCTCAATATCACTCTGTCATGGAAAACCTGGACATACAAATCTTTACAAGGGAAAGCTTCCATCTCTGAAAAGTTTTTGCTGGTGTGATAGTTACTAAGAACAGAAGTGTTTTCTAAGTCAGCAAGGTTAGGGTTATACTTCCAGTACTGGCGCTAGATCCCACGGAGTAATAATTTTTGACTGTAGGCTTAATGAGCTTAGCTGCCTTAATAAATCTGTTGACCATGAAGTATTGTAGAGAGCAGACAATGCTGAAACTTGGATTTTTAGTGTGCTTATTCTTAAGCTCTTTTCCAGACCAGTCTTAAAGAACTCTGAGGCTGAGTGAGATGCAAAAAAATCAAAATGCTTGTTATCACGAACGCACCCTACTTCAAGAGTGTGCGTGATGTAGTTGTGGTGGTGAAATGGTTAAAGTTCACTATTTGTCTGCACTAGACCGGAAATAATGATAAAATTCCACTTAACACCACCCACACTTCACCATAATAAAATAAATATTACTATTTTAACGCTGCTACCACCAAGACAATTTCTAAATGGTGTGC